GATTGATTCAACTCAAACTTGGTACACATATTGCATACCAATATAGCTCAGACGAGTTCACATTACAGAAGTTAACATGCATTTTTGATGGAGTTTTGCCCCTTTTATTGCCAAATAAGGTCAGTGTGTATTAAATGCAAGATTTTTTTTATAAATTCCTTTCAAATTTTGTACGGTAATGCTAGAAGCAAGAATGTTCAACATTTATTGCGGGTTTTTCTGTCGAGTTTCAACTTTCCGCCTTTTCGCATATCACACTTGACATAGCAACGCTGTTAATCGTTTTTCCCTTTAATTCTTGCTTGTTAACGCGATAACTTGAGCCAAAACACTTTTCTCACTAAAATCGCTGAGTAGGCGACACATCCACTCCTGTGGAACTCTTGTTTAGCTTGACAATTTGTTGATATGATTCCCTTATTCTACCCCCTATATAAATGCCAAAATTTCACTAGACCAATGGTGGCAGTTTTACAAGATACCATTCTTGACTTGTACTAATTAAGCCATACTAGATATAAAGTCCTTAATAGAAAAGATGTAATATCGACTTAAGGCTGATATTCTTTAATTTAACCATTATATGCTAAAAGGATCGATTTAAAGAAATTACCCTCATCTGTAAAAGTTGTTCAACAAAATTAAATGGGGTGGGCTTAATGCCGAGCACGGGCTTATCAGGGGTACAAGAGCATGTCACAGGTGATCAAGCTAGTAGCTAGTTTGTCACCAACTTAATTGAGATCTAATTCCACTTAATTCTGTCTTGCACCCTCCAAATGTAACATACTCTCAGATGCAAAACTACCCTATACTTTCATATAATATTAAATGAAACACATATGACTATAACGTAACAATAATTTTGACCTCATGACCAGGAAAGTGAAAAGTGGAAAGTTTCAGGCTGAGAAAAGTATGTTTTCGATGTATAGAAAAAGGGGGAAAAAAATCAGTATCATTGGGTTTTTTAATTGAGAAATCCAATTTTAACAATATTATTATTTTGTGGAGGATCTGCAATTAGTTCATTGATTTGCTGTAAACATTACAAAGTACACCTAGGAGTTTGTTTTTGATTGGAACTAAAATTTTGATAAACATGATTACTTCAATAATGACAAAAGAATTCATTTTAAACAAAACTTTCCTAATTTTCTTAGGAAAGAGCTACATACAAAGTATTTGATTCTCAATTTCAACTGGTCAGAAAAATGGATCAGGATGTCTCAGTCAATACAAGTACAGCCTGATGTTCAAATAAGTATATATAGTTTACATATTTGTATCTGAATAAATATTGATTTGACTCAACCTTATACTGTATAGTTTAAACTGCTAATTCTGAACTTAATTCAAGAAAAAAGAAGTAACATTTAGTTCATGCTTAACTAAGGTAAAAAGTTCAAATTTCTTTAAGTGCCAGCAGAACAACAGAGGAAGGCAAAATTTAAAAGCAAATTGACATTGCATTGCATTTCAAAGCATCTACATAGTGATACATAGAAAATAGCAATAAAACTAATTGTGAAGAGCTTATCACAAAATGTTGCCATGGAAACAATAAAAAAATCATGACAAGATGTCAGTAGCTATAGTAGTAATTGATATCTGAAGGGATATATATACTTCTGTTACCATGGTAACTCATAAAAACAGGGATGGAATCGACACTTGCATCTGCTACTATGGTAATTAAAGTCTCAAGGACACAAACATGCATCTGTTACTATGGGAACTCATGATAACACACACATCTGTCACTATGGTAACTAATAACAACAGGGACATCTGTTACTATGGTAATTTAAGTCGCAGGGACACCAACATGCATCTGTTACTATGGTAATTAACTCATGATAACAAACACACCTGTTACTATGATAACTCATAACAACAGGGACATCTGTTACTATGGTAATTAAAGTCGCACGGACACCAACATGCATCTGTTACTATGGTAACTCATGATAACAAACACATCTGTTACTATGGTAACTCATTACAACAGGAACATCTGTTACTATGGTAACTTATACCACCACCAGGGACTCTTTAAGTTTCGTCTCTTTTGTAGCTCATACAAACAGGAACACATTAATCTGTAACTATGGTTACTCAAACAAGCATGGACACTTCCATCTGTTACTATGGTAACGCCTACCAACAGAAACATTTCAATCTGTTGCTATATGGTAACTCATACAAATAGGGACAATAATTAACTTCTGTAACTATGGCAACTCCTACAAATGGGCATATACATTTTGTTACTATCAAAACTTAAAGTAGCAGGGACACTTTATAATTACTTGCATCTTATTATAATAACTCAATATCAACAGGGACACTTATACATTAGTTATAGTTAGGTAACTCAACAAGTATAGTAGGAACATCACATATATCAGTAACCATGGTTACCTGAATACCAACATATTAGCAGGGGCGTTACCTCAGTAAGAACAGTACCAGTCACTTGAGACATCTTTTATCAGCAATGCCAAGTTTTTATTACAGGGGGTAAATCAGTATCTGCATCAACACATACCAAGAGACAAACAAATCCTCATCATTTATCTTTAACAGTCTCTGTCTCACCGACACATATCACAGACATATGTATTTAAACAACAATCACAAGCATTAATGTCAACAGTGTAGTTTCTACTAAATATGTAGCTCACGTCCAACAGTTTGATAATGAAACATTTTGATTTGTTAATTCGAAGTTGAAATGGGTTTCTGCAGTGATTTAACAATTAAATAATGCAAATGTAGTTATTTTAACAGAAATGAATTTCTAGTGAAAATGTCGTTTTAGCAGAAATCCACTTTCAGGTTCGTAGCTGCTTATGGGTATGCAGGTGAATTCACCAATTTTTTAAACAGAAAAACAAAACAAAAACACTGCTTATATAATTTGTTGCACCCCCTTGACCCCCTACCAAGCCTGTACCCTGGACCTGCTCCTAAAGGAATCCACTGTGAACAATGGTTGCGTAGCTACGCCCCTGACTTTAAAGTGGAAATCTGATTTCAACAAAAAAAATGTACATATAGCACTATTTATGTGAGCATTGCAGTGCTTTATCTACTGAAAGCAGCAGGTAGATGTAATATTTATCACATTTACAGATTTTATTTTTACCACAAAGAATCTCGGCATTCTTTAATTATTTCCCTAATACATAAAATTTCCCTGTACATAAAATGAGCAGCTTGAGCTTAAACAACAACATCGATAATTTCTAAAACATCAAACATATGACTCATAATAGCATAACAATGAACTATAAGCATTAAAAATTAAGGCTAAATGACACAAGTGCATACATTCAAATTAAATGAGCTTTAATTTCTCTGACTAAATTTCTCCATATCATTGATTTTGTAGTAATAATTTAGAGTCTGAGAAAATGTTGACGAAGAGAATTCAGACTAATTCTAAATAACACAAGCATAAATCTAAAAAAAAAAATTGGAAGCAAAAATGTCTTTGGTACATTATAAGGATCACATTTCTTTAAAGACTTTTGATCATTTAACTCAAATCGATTTTAGTGGATTACAAACTGTAGTGTTAACAAAAAATTAAAAAAATAAAATTGTTTGAATAACACCAAAGCGTTAAAGATTGATTATGCACCTTTTCTTGTAACTGTATCTCCTATTCTGAAATAGGTTCGTATTTAACTCATTCACCCCTGAAATTTCAACATGAACTATTCCAACCTTTGAATTGGGGGAGCTCAAATGTGTCTCCAGGGGGGAATGAGTTAAAAACCCTAGACAATTGTAATGATGCGTTTCAGTACAGTATAACTTATACAAAATCCCATGACGAGTTTCAGTATAGATTTAATGTGTACAAAATCCCATGACTAGTTTCAGTATAGATTTAATGTGTACAAAATCCCACGACGAGTTTCAGTATAGCATAAATGTGTTTAAATCCCATGACGAGTTTTAGTATAGATTTAATGTGTACAAAATCCCACGACGAGTTTCAGTATAGCATAAATGTGTTTAAATCCCATGACGAGCTTCAGTATAGATTTAATGTGTACAAAATCCCATGACGAGTTTCTGTACAGTATAAATTTGAACAAAATCCCATGACGAGTTTCAGTACAGTATAAATGTGAACAAAATCCCATGACGAGTTTCAGTATAGTTTTAATGGGTACAAAATCCCATGACGAGTTTCTGTACAGTATAAATGTGAACAAAATCCCATGACGAGTTTCAGTACAGTATAAATGTGAACAAAATCCCATGACGAGTTTCAGTATAGATTTAATGTGTACAAAATCCCATGACGAGTTTCAGTATAGCATAAATGTGTTTAAATCCCATGACGAGTTTCAGTATAGTTTTAATGGGTACAAAATCCCATGACGAGTTCCAGTATAGTATAAATGTGTTTAAATCCCATGACGAGTTTCAGTATAGATTTAATGTGTACAAAATCCCATGACGAGTTTCTGTACAGTATAAATGTGTTTAAATCCCATGACAAGTTTCAGTATAGTTTTAATGGGTACAAAATCCCATGACGAGTTTCAGTACAGTATAAAAATACATACAAAACCAATGGGATATCAATGAGAAATAATGTAGAAATTTGACTTCATTTATCACAGTACACAATGTAACTGCTTTTAATTACCGTTTTATTAATCTTGACTCCAATAGTTTGGAAACATCACTTCCTTGACTTGTATTCTCGATACCAAACTGAATTACTTCGTCAGATGTCAAAAAAATGTAATTATTAACCTTATGGGGAATCAAGTATCAAGGGCTACAAAGCTAAAAAATAATTTCACTCCAAATCATATAGTAAATTCAATTCCATACCAGCAAAATTTGGATTTGTTCAGAAAAGTTATTTTATAACTTTTGTTTTTTTATTGAAACACATGCACCTGTACATATAATTTTTTTAAAGACTGAAATACAAAATGCACTTATGTTTCAATTGAGATGTTTGATGATTTAAGAAAAGAAAAAATTAAGAAAATCTTTGAATAATTAAAAAATATAAATAAAATAAAAATCTTTGAATAATGCAACACAGAATCCTATTGACTTGATTATCTGAATCGACCTTTTAAACTAAATTCACGAATGAATGAATATACCGCTGCTCACATGAATTTACGGATGAGTGAATATCGATACACATGTAGGTGTATAAAAATAATCACATTCACAGAAAATGTTACAGTTTCTCACTAACGAACTTGAATTATTAATTTTCAATCAAACCTTCATGCATGATTGCCTCCCATTCTGTAGTGTATACAGCCTTAAGGTGATATATACCTTGTACCTAACAGTCATGAACAAATGGAAGCATTCGGAACAGTCTCGCCCCGATTAGAGTTCCTTTCATCAAAGATGTTAACTAATGCTAGATGACCCAATCAGCCGAGGTGTTCCGAATGCAAATGGAAGATACTATAGCAGGACATTCAAATGTAATTTAACCAAAATCATGTGTGACAAACTAAAGAATCCCCATACCACCAAAAAAAATCTGTAACTGTTAATTAAAATATTTTTACTTTGCATGACAAAAGCTTTAATAATCATTTCTAAATAGATTTACTCATGTCTTGCAGAACTTTTATGAAAAAGATGAAAAAAGATGAAATTGCAAAAAAAATGTTTAAAAAATCACAATAATAGTGTTCTTGAGAGTAAAACTGAAACAGAGCCACACAAGAACTCAAAACCTCGTTGAATCTCAAATAACAATACCATTGCAAAATGCTCATACCTCATTCACTCCTGAAATTCAATAATGAACTTTTCTAACCTTTGAATTGGAAGGGTTCAGATGTGTCTTCAGGGGTGAATGAGTTAAACCAACTGAACTACCTGGCCCAGTTCCCTTCACAATTATTGTTAAAAAAGAAGTTAAGGGGAGGTCACTGTATGTATGAAAAAGTATAGTGGAACTCTCTAGTGTTTTATCTGCAGCGGGTCAGGGATCCTTTAAGAAAACAAGATGATGGACATAGACGTTATAGTTATGAATGAATGTAGTAAATTACAGTTTCACAGTTTGATCAACTGCATGGAGTACTGTCACATTTTCATATAAGCCGTCTATGCTTGCTTCTTTGACATCCTTCTGATTTCACATTTCACAATTCACTGCTGGTGTCTCATTAAATCCTGATCTGCTGATTTTGTTAGGGCTATAGATGGCATATTCTCAAATCCTGATTCACAGCTTCTGTTAGCATTTAATTCCCATAAAAGCACGACTCTGAGTGTTAAATGTTGTGAAGACAGTTGTAATTGTTTTTAACAAATGGAGTTATAACTTCATATCTGATCTCAAATCTGATCTCATAAATGTAGGGCTATTTCGTGTTTCCAATTCCTTCTTGTACATATTTCTCATGCTTTGTGTTTCACATATCCTTTGTCTTCACAGTTCGGGACAAGTGTTTCACATTTTCCATGATGTTTTTCTTGTTTCATGCACATGTAACACAATATGTAATTCTAGTTCTGCTCCATTCATATGCATGTGTTTCACATTCAACTTTGAATTCCCTATCTACGTACATTTAATTATACAAATTTCGTTGGAATCAGTGTTTTAATCATATCTTACCTTGGTGGACAAAAATTAACCAGCATAATACACTGGGGATTTCATATTATATTTATTTTTAAAGATTAATACACAATTCCGTCGAAACAACTTATTCACAATTCACATTTAAGACAGGTCAGCATTTCAATATATTTTTGCAGGCTCTTGGCAGTAAGATCTTGGGTATTTCATACAAGATACCTTTTTGAGGATTAAGGTTTTTATTAAATGTAGCAGATCACATTAGGTGCCACAGTGATTAACCTTTGTGAGGTTAAAACACGAAAATGTTCAGCGTTCGCTGCGTATTTGTTGGTATATGGTAATTACATGTATTTCACAAATTCACAAACTCTTATCCGGAAGTGAAAATCCTCATTTTGACTCTTTTTTTTTAACTCATTCACCCCTGGAATTTCATAATGAACTATTCCAACCTTTGAATTGGAAGAGTTTAAATGTGTCTTCAGGGGTGAATGAGTTAAGCCAGTGTTTGCAGTTTCCTTATTAACAGGACTGCTGTATTCATTGCGAATATTCCACAATGGTTTTGATGAGGTGAGGGTGTTGTGGGGATCGTTTCATGAGATTTCCTACTCCATGTAAATATCCTCGGTTGGGTGCGTAAATGCCATGTACTCCTGGTAAAATCTCTTGAAAGCATTTCTGAAATCATACAAAAAAAAAATGATATAATCAGATCATTCATGATTGCACATGTATTAGTTTAATGACTATTCAAAACGTAAAACTGAATTTGACCTTTGACCTTGAATATGGTGTGAGAAACAGACTGTCAAACTTGTATTACCAATATGGTGTGAGAAACAGGTTTTTAAACTTGTCTTACCAATATCATTATATGGTGTGAGAACAGGCTATCAAACTTGTCTTACCAATATGGTGAGAGAAACAGGCCATCAAACTTGTCTTACTAATATGGTGTGAGAAACAGACTATCAAACTTGTCTTACCAACATGGTGTGAAATTTATAAACAGGCTATCAAACTTGTCTTAACAATATGGCGTGAGAAACAGGCTATCAAACTTGTCTTGCCAATATGGTATGAGAAACAGGCTATCAAACTTGTCTTACCAATATGGTATGAGAAACAGGCTATCAAACTTGTCTTACTAATATGGTGTGAGAAACAGACTATCAAACTGGTCTTACCAACATGGTGTGAAATTTATAAACAGGCTATCAAACTTGTCTTAACAATATGGCGTGAGAAACAGGCTATCAAACTTGTCTTACCCTATAGCCTCGCTGACACTCCTGGTTGACTTTTCTCCCAGAAACACATGACAGGCAAATCTGTATGCTTTAGGATGTTTAGTTATGAATCCAAAGTATCTAAAATAAAACAAGCTAGGAATCAGAATACACATTATTACTGCTGAGTCAATACTTGGTTGGTCAATCATGACCTTAGGACTTAATTTAATTCAAGAAAATTCAACTTCAGATTAAAGATGTTCAAAATAAGGTTATGTCAAAAACACCTTTTTTTTGCATATTCACTTTAAAATAAATAACAGTGTATTTGCATTATTAAAAGTCTCTACGATGATTTATGAAAATAATTAAATTTATTTATTTAATTTTTTTTTCATGTTCACTTCAAGATAAACCATAAAACCTTTATTTAAGTCTCTACAATGACTTATAAAGATAATTGAATTGATTTATTAAATTTGCAAATTAATTTGATTTGTCATATTAACGGACTGATAGGATATATATTTCATTTGCTTAATTTAGTCCAGATACATACAGCTCTATGATCAGCTACCACTAGGCAAATTATACAGGCCTACATTGTAAATCAGAGTAAGGGTTTACATGTAATGTAAGCTCACCAGTGATACAGATTGGCATTACATAATTTACCCCTTAAGACACATTTGAACTCTTCCAATTCAAAGGTAGGAATAGTTCATTATGAAATATCAAGGGTGAATGAGTTAAAAACAATTGTTTCGATGACCCTAGACATGGAGTCGCAACACACAAATAATACATGTTGAATCATCTCACCTTTCATTGCGAGGATGAAAGCCACAGAACGAAATGTTCTTCAGGGCAAAAAAGTGGGTGTAGGCATCCGATTCGCTTTCGTGCTGAAAACACAATACAAGAAAATATTGATTTCTGTAAATGTCATGGTCTAGTCTAATGGCATAGGGTTAGATAATTTCCTAGATTTAACCCTCATCTTAAAGTCAATCAATACAAACAGGCAATTGTAACCGACATTATTTTTAGAAATGCCAGGAATAAAACGAACATTTTGTTATCGTTTTTGAGGGTTTGAGAGGTTTTTTTTTCAATCAACATGCTAACAGATAGTTGCTTAATTATTGGCAATGAGGGATTATATAATCTTAGCACATGTACAAGTTTGACAGTGAACAGATCTGAGTTTTTAAGAAAGGCTTGCTTATTTGCACAAATTATAACAGTTTACGAGGAAACTGCAGTTGTCAATTTAACAAGTTTATTTTGAACCTTTTTTTTTATTGTTTTGTCATGAATAATAAGTATAACAAACCACAGAGTAAGTTTATTTGATTGAGAAAAGATCTCGCCCTACCTTTTGTCAGTAAGTAAGTTACAGGTAATGTTTATTCATGGTTCTTATGAAGCATTGTAGGTGCAATATTTTAACTGTCATCCAAAAATATGAATCATACCTTCAGCAAAAAGCTTCAAAACAAGGACCCCTGTGACCTTGAAAGTTCAGATCAAGGTCATTTTTTATTTTGCAAACTTTGTAAGACCCCAAACTTGGAAGCTAGCTACCAGCCAGATTATTGATTCTAGACCTTTTGGTTCATAAGAAGAAGTAGTATAAAGGTTCAGACATATTTTACCTCTGAGACCTTGAAGAGGTCAAGGTTATTTTTTATTTGCAAACTTTGTTGGGCTTCATCTCAGGAAGCCAGGAACCTTCAGACAAGGTGAGTGAAATCTCTGAGAGGAACTCTTCTTTGCGATTAAAACTGATGCAGTGATACCCTTAACCTTAACAGCTAAGTTCATATGACACCAGCAAGGATCATAAAGAGAGAGCGAAAGCAGAAGAAAGGAGGATAGAGAGAGGATAGGAGAAGTCATCGGGACAGAAAGTGAAAAAAGGTGTCACTTACGCCACTTTTGCTTTTGTCGAACATGCGTATACCGTATTGACTGACTTCCACTGTACATAATGGTGGAGGCGTTGAGCATTTGGCAGAGCGACGGGAGAGAGCAATCTGTTCAAACAGAAACAATTAATGGCTGTATATAGGGTGAACTCAGCCTTCCAACTGTATTATCATTTCTTGTGTACTTTCAATTGTGTCATCAATTCTTGTGTACCTTTCAACTGTGTCATCAATTCTTGTGTACCTTTCAAATGTATCATTAATGACAATAAATTTTTATGTTCCTTTCAACTGTATGTGTCATCAGTTCTTGTGTACCTTTCAAATGCATTATCAATTATTGTGTAGTCCTTTCAAACATGATATCAATAAATTCTTTCTTATGTTCCTTTCAACTTTACGTGTCATCAATTCTTGTGTACCTTTCAAATGCATCATTAATGATTGTGTAGTCCTTTCAAACATGATACATGTATCAATAAATTCTTATGTTCCTTTCAACTGTACTGTCATCAATTCTTGTGTACCTTTTCAAAATTTCTTTTGCAATTTAGCAGTTCTTGGTACGGAGCTCTTTTGGATAGGAGGTGGATTTCACAAGAAGATACCATGTATCCTTAACCTACCTTGTTGATCGCCTGACAGAGGACAGTGTCCCCTTTGTGTTCATTGACTTCGACAGACCCCAGGAAGCGCATATTAAAATGAGAGGTACCATCAGTTTCTGTAGAAGATGTACAATTAAATTTATCAAAAGTAGTATGACAGATTCATTTAGTTGTGAAATTCAGGATAAAGAAAATTTATTATAAACAATATATTGTCAACACTACTAGAAACTCTAAATATGAACTCTTAATAGGTCCTCTATGTTTCATCTTAAGCATATTTTTACAGTATATTATATTATTATTCTGATAAAATGACATTGTTAAAACAAGAGGCCCAGAGGGCCTGTATCGCTCATCTGGATACCTAAGCAATCGTGGCAAAATATTCTCCAAATGAGATCAAGGGAATATGCCAGACCCCAAGGCCAATCCTTGTAGCATAGCTATATTAGGTTTTTCACGCCCAGCAATTTTATGTATGGTTATGGGGTGGGGATCTCAACTGTTTCCAAGCTTTGACTCAGAAACTAGGTCCCTAGAGTTGTGGCCATACCCCAGGATCGATTTTAATATCGTGACTGCATTTGTCTCTATTTGCCCAGCATTTGTATATATAGTTTTGGGGTGGGGATCTCAACCGTTTCAAAATTATGACCCAGGGGTCAAGTCTGCAAGGGTGGGGCAGACCCTGGGACCAATTCTAATATCATGACTGCATTCGTCTCTTTATGCCCAATAATTGTATATATAGTTTTGGGGTGGGGATATTAACCATTTCGAAGTTATGACCCAGGGGTTAAGTCTCCAAGGGTGGGGCAGTCCCCAAGGCCAACCTGGAAGCATATGTGCAATCATCTCTTTATACTCAGCAA